TCGACAACTAATTTTGCAACCTTTTCTTCTTCCCTCTATACTATCCGCTTCCTAAGGAGTGAGCCATGTTGGATGGAAGGCGGACTTTGTGCCAGAAATAGACAGTCTTGGGGAACCATGAATCCAGTATTCCCATGTTTAGTTTATTATTCATATATAGAAAATTTTCTGTGTCAACATCTAAGGTCATTAGCAGTGTATTCAAGGTAAAGCAATAGGGTGAGGCTTGGGGGTGAAACCCCAGATAACGAAAGGTCATGTAGCAGTATGATAAAAGTACTGTGGTAAAATTAGTTAGTATAGTAGGGTTAATCCCCCACAATGGGCCTAAATTTTGTATACGTCACTAATGACCATAATGTTTATACAGCAGAAAATTTACAATGAATAATGAAAATAGCCCTTACCTCTCAAGGGGACCCTAAGGAGTGTGCTGTTTCTCTCCCCAACATAATCCATGCTTACCATGGCCAGTAATGAAGATTTTGCATCCTTATTAGGAGCATTGAGGCTTGTCCCTTTATCAAGTAGCCCCAGAGTTAAATTCTCCTGTTTAACTGACCCTAGGCTCTTCTTTGACCACGACTCTAAATATTGCTGCTACTACTACCCCCTCATCAATACCTACTGGTCATGTCACTCCAGTCCAGATCATCCACCATTACTCAGCCTCCAAAAAAACATTTCTCCTCTCCCACCATCGTGCTGCCTTATTGTGCATCTCTCTACAGTACTAGCTCTTTCTACAGTTTATGGAGAAGACCTACCACATGGACAATGATACAGTATCAGTACAATGCTACACCATTCCCCTAGAGGCTGCCAAAAGTTATACACAAATATTGCCAAGATTACTTTAATGTTCATATTGGCAGAGAGTCCCACTATCTGACTATAACAACCTCCCCCATCATTGTCAGATTGTTGGTGTCTACACCACCCTGCCAAATACTGCTGTTATACAGCCCAATGCCGACTGTGTGCCTGACCTGTTCATGATCAATCAGACTACTTTGCACAATCACACACATGCCGGCATAGTTGTGCAACTGTGGTGGCATCCATAACAAATTTTATAGTTTGAGGCTGAAGTGGCAGTTCTCAGATTCAAACTTGGCCTCACTTTATGTAAGGCCTGACATGAAGCACACAGACAAGGTTTTTCTCTTACTCTACTCTGATGCTGCACTTCACTCTGCTCCTATCCCTTCCTGCCAAGATGTTTTTACATCTTCCCCAATAACTCTTCCTCAATCCTACTTCTATGCCTTCCCTCACCCAGTCAAAATCTTTTGCCATTCTAAATCCAGACACCCCAATCTACACCACTCTTCTAGACACTCCAATTTCTACTACCCCTCTTCCTCCTTACCCAACTCTTCACACAAGACAAGATAAACATTCCATCCCACCTTCCTCCTACTGCATCCTCTCCTCCATTAATCTGCCCCTCTTCTCCCCCTCATACGAAAACCTTTATTTCTCAGGCCTCTCCAACCAACCCCACTTCAGAAACTCTGAAAGACATTTAAAACTATCTTATCATAACCAAATATAACATGCCTATGCTCCAGCCATCCTTCAAAATCTCTGCTCACATTCCTACACTTAAAAGTAACTGCCGACGTTCATCCTCCTCCTACTCGTGTTCCCCCAACACCCCTTCATCCCCCTCCCTCCCAAAACATCCCATTCCCTGCTTCACAATGACCCCCTTCCCTGGATTCTCTCCCTCCTGACATTTTTCCTGAAACTGATCTTATCACCATTTTTCTCCTTTTGCTGATCCCGACCATTGCATATCAGGATCCCTCAACATTGAACATTGAGTAAATACATTGTGTTTGTGTATAATTCTTAATTTGGCCAAGGATCTGCCATTCTGAATATAAATAAATGAATGACAGTTCTTCCCCCAGCCAATAAAAAAATGAACCTTACTATCGTTTAGTGAAAATATCAAATTGATATCACAGTGTTGTTTAGTACAGGCTAAAGTAATAAAACACCATGGAAAATGGTTAAGACTTTTTATACATAAATGTATATCTCTCTTCCAATACATAATAGCTTCAATTTGCTACTTATGTTGTTGTTTTTGTACCAATGAGAATGACTAGATATAAAATAGCCATTTTTTCACAAGCAAATGCATTGTTTTAAAATATCTTTTCATACATTCATTTCTTTCTTGTCATTTTTCTGGAGGAGTGTTTGTCTTTTCTGCATCTTCTTGTGTTTTGCGCCACGTACGTGAGCCCGCCACTGGATCTTTCCAATCACGACACGCTCGCAGACATCACATTCATATCGCGTTTTGTCACCTGCAAAGAAACAGAGGCCTTGGTAATACAATCTTTTCAGAAGGAAATACAACACATGCAATGAGTCTGCAGGAAAAATTCTACATTATACATTTTTTACAGTAATAGAAAAAAATATATACATATCTCCTAAACAGATACAGTCAGGCCGACTATGTCAATTTACTACTTTTTATAAGAGATCAATAAAAATCTATTATCATCACACATTCCAAGTAACTAAGCATAAATTGAACAATATTATCATGACTGCAAAATTTAGGCTTATTTTGGATAAATATGCACAAAAATTTATTTTATATTACATGGGCAAAGAAAGTTATTTTATAGGCCTATTTACTATTAAAAATAAAATATATCCAAATGTATAAAAAGAATAGTCACAAAAATTACATCTCCCATCTATCTTCAACTCAATGTCAGTCAATGAGTTTCATTTGCATTTGGTCAGCCATTCATGAGGGGAAAAGGATTTAAGTTTAGGAAGCAATTTTGGCTACAGCCAACACAATTTTTCAGGAAATAAGGATCAAGGGAGACTTTAATGGCTACAGTATTGGCCAAATGAGAGCAACTCTTTTGCACACACAACTTAGAGCAGGTTCACTGTGTGTGACATGAAGGTACATACCACCCAGAAAAGAATCCAATCATGCATTGGTATTTATGTACATGTTACCATAAGCAATGAATTAGCCAGGGTCAAAAAAGAAATATCACAAAACCTTTCACTAGTTCCAAACATTTAAACCAATTTCATAACAGCTATGAAGATGCTTGAAAATATAGCAAAGGTTATTGCTACCATAAAAAAAAACCTTTTCAGATGCAACTTTGCATAACCCCCATACCAACCCCTTAAGTCATTACATGCAATGAAGTTCACATTTTACACTAATTCTAATCTTGCTTTGAACATTCCTCACAAATCTTTACAGTGTAGGATATGGCAGATCCTGTGAGGAGCTTATTAACAGATCTCAATTTCCACTATATATGCTAGTTTTGAGTAAGGTACATCAACATATTCTCCATTTGTTAACACAATAGAGGGCTTTTGTTATGTAACCACAGCATCTAGCAAAGAGGTTTAAATTCCCCTTTTCTAAAGAAATATCACAGCAGTGCACCCAAACATTTCACACTAACTATGCCATCAATCATCTCGCAGCATGAAGACCAAGAGGAGATCTCTGGACAATGACCTATGAATACAGTTGTTATTATGAATAAATATTTATGGATGATATCTTTCCCTTCGTTTCTTAATCATTTTTTCTAGGCTTTAAAGTGGTTCCTTTCCATCATTCTTTAATTACTACCATTTGCAATACAATGATCCCTAATGACATATGGTGGACCATGTCTATTATTTCAATTATTCACAAGCATTAGTGATTACATTAACATCAAACCTTTTACACTTAGCCACATTTAAAAAATCACTCAATTTCATTTGGCAGCTCTGAAATTTTGAATGCTCCAAAACTTCAGCATTTTTCTCCATTCTGTTATTAAAGTACATTCAATCAATATTCCCAATGTGAGTTACACCTAGACAAATTTTTGCCCACTATGAAGATTAATAACCAAAATAATCATCACTAACCCTCTATGCTTTATAAATGGGCAGAGGAGACCACTTCAGATATCAATGGATTGATAAAATTTTTGAGACATCCAAAATCCTGATACAACATATGTTTCAAATAATCATTGGAATGGCTGTGGAAGGCAACAATGCACTGGGAAAACACAACCAAATTCAACCCTAAATGAACTTGGGTTACAGTTCAATATCAGAAATCTCTACTTAGAAATCCATGTAACTTTGACTTTTTTTTTCTATAAGTGCATCAAACCTATATAACTGAATTATTTACAGCCCATATCTTAAACCAGTAACAACAAGTGTCCCACATATGAGATACCCGAAAAAATAAACATTGCCGGGCATCCCGCCAGTGTGACACTGTTTCCAGGGCATGTGCTCCAACGCAGCAGAATTGGAATGCTTAAAAATCCAACTCTTTGACACATTTAACCAGTCTACATAAATTCAACTGAATATCTTCCCTCCCTAAAATGAGTTCATCTTCTATCATATTCAACTTCTGGATCTTACACCCACTCCCAATCTCAATTTCAGACTGAACTTCACTTAATCCACTGGTGCAGGAAATGTATGTACTGTCTATACAGCTATTATTTATTACTTTTCTTTCACATCAAAGGGCTGGATAAGCACGAAAATTACCAAGGAGTCAACTATATTTACCCTTAACCATCAGTGGTAAAAAGAAAAAATAGCTATTACTTCATCAACATTATCATATCTAATATATTATGATTATCCTTACAAGCATTATTATTGTAAATACAATCCTCACCACTATAACTATATAATAAATTATAATATTATAAATAAGTAGTAGAAGTAGGTAGTGTGATAGTAGTAGTGGGGGTAGTGCAGTGTGATTTGACGGCAGGCTTGTAATTGACTTGCTTGGTGACTAAGCACTGAAGATAAAATAAAACAAGCCCCACAGTAGAAGTCTGGTATCAAAGGGTTAAGATAATATCTTCCACACTGGAATCATCTTCCATTACCTCGATGGACTTTCCTCTTCATCTTTAACCATATTGGCAGTCTCGATTCTGGCTGTCTTCCCTCTGCTAGCGCTTGCACAACACCCTCGCGGCCAGCCGCTTGCTCGTCCCACTTGCTTGGTCAGAGCCATCTAGGGCGAAGACAGGTGGAACCTGGAGAAAAAAAAGTGAGGTGAATTCCATTTTCTTTATAACTCAGATAATCTCTACATACTATAAATAAAAATAAATAAACACCTCCCACATCAAACACAACAACTGACATTTCCCCAAAGCTATTTTCTGTAGTGATGGGATCTAAATGCCAGTGTCGGCAGGGAAATGAGGCACTGGGAAGGAGACAGACTTCCAGGCACAAGTACTGGTAAAGGCACAACCGGTTTGAATGGATGTCTGAAGAAGGGAAGAGAGACTAAATCAAGTGTGGCCATTTAAATTGCTAAATGTATTTTGTAGATGGTATGGTTTCTATCTACTAATATGGGATACAAAGCAAAAGTACAGTGAAACACAAACAAAAATAAGATTAAATATTGAGCAAGAGTTGCTTTTCATATACTTCAAGCCAGAATCTACTTGAAGAAAAGTAAAAGAGACCTTCTAAGTGGATTCTGAGTTACACGCAGGCTTCAAGTAATGCAGATTACAAAATATGAATTCAATTGGTACAAGAAATTAAAATCAAGACCTATTTTAAAAAACAACTGACTAATTTCCAATTAGTATAACCAAATGCAACTTGTCTACTGGAGTTGAAAGTTTTCAAACTTTCTTGATGTCTTTCAAATAATGGCTTCATTCTGGCTCTCATGATGAGTTGAGGTGTAATTTCTGTTATAATAAATTAATATACATTCTTAAATTTATTTTTCTAAAAGCAAACTTTTCAAAATCCATGAATTTGCAGAAGTATATAAACTTTTTCCTTTCTCACTAAAATTCTAAAAAGGGAGCAAAAAGTGCACCAGATTCAGTAAACGACTGAAGAGTCTATTTCTGAACCCCTTTGATCTAGATTACATGACCATCACGACATGAAGAAATTTGGTTTGAGGAGCAGGTGATGTGAATTTCTCATCATAAGCAAAGGCCAGGGTGACAGAAAAGACTTGTCTTGAGTGCACAAACCTCTTGGAGGTTGATTCGACTCCTTTGGCATTTAGAAAAGGGCTATTGCTTTATTCATATCGATCAAACCGTGGTCTATAATGTCAATGAGTCGTAACAGAAAGAGCACCGGCTACAGGGAAGACGTAATTTCTATGCTCAGCATCCTATTGCTCGCTGCTGTGTGGCACCACGGGTAGTGTTACAGAAAACTGAATATTTCAAAAATAATACAAAAAAAGGCACACACTAAGCCTAAATGCCTGATTTTGGTGCATGTTACTGCTGTGAAGCAATTAAATCCAAGGGGTTTACAATCGCATGAATACCCTTACTGACTAGGGGAAAATGTTTACTGTGGTAAGTCTATTTCTATATATTTTGTGAAGTTCTCGATATGATTCAAGTGATGCGAAATTCTGTTCAACACCACTCCTCCACTTTCTCTATAGGCCTACAAAGAGAAGACACACGGCTAAATTAATGGAGCACTAGCCTTACATATTTAGCAAAATTGTCAGCATATTAAAGTAATTTGGTACAAACTTAAATATGAAACAATTGCAACAAGTATAAAATTGCCAGCATATTAAAGTAATTTGGTACGAACTTAAATATGAAACAATAGCAACAAGTATAAAATTGCCAGCATATTAAAGTAATTTGGTACGAACTTAAATATGAAACAATCGCAACAAGTATAAAACTGTCTGCATATTAACCCATTACCGCCAGCATATTTTGAAGCCGAAAATAAAAGATTCAGGGCGGCTACAAGATCAGCGCGCAAGGCTGGCCCAGACTTTGCGCACTCGCCAGCTGCGGCCCGCTGCTGCATCAGAGTGCGAGCCCCGATACAGCATCACAGTGGCAGGACACCCAGCAATGTTCATTTTTTCGGGTGTCTCATATGTGGGACACCCGTCCCACATATGTAATTTAGTATGAACCTAGATGTGATATAACAAATCCAAACAATCGCAGCAAGTATAAAAGTACCTGGAAACTTTCTTCACAATGAATTTGGAAAAAAAAGCAACATTAAGATCAATTAATCCTACATCATAAGACAAGGGAGAGAGACACCAACAGCAGACAGAGAATGAATGTGATTTTCAGCTTCAGTAGCACACTGTGCATGAATGAATACATGATCCATACTTTTTCTTCTCAATTCATATAATAACATTCTCTTTAGGACTAATAATGGAATCTTAGTATGTTTATAGGTTTCTACCTCCTGCCAAGAAGTGATACCTGAGTTGACAATTCCATATCATTACTATTATTCTTAACAAAAATTTTGGCCCTACAATGTACCACATACAGTAGGTAGATGTTCCAAGAGCTTTGAAAAAAAATCTTCAATATTTCATATCCATCAAACTTATTGCAAATTTTATATTCCATGTTTTAGCATCTAGTGAGGTCCAGCTCTAAGCACCTCTCATACATAAGTACACGAGACTACGAAGAAACATGAGCCACTCTGCTGGGCTGTGCCTCCTCAATGATTGCAGTCACAGCCAAATAAGCAAAAAGCTGTTTAGCCTACACAAAGAGAGCTGGCTTGACCATGTGTGGCATAGATACTTCCAAACTGGCATATGGGCTTGGTGCATCATGGAAATAAAGATGCCACCCAGCCTGACCAGGGCAAAATGATCAATGTCAATTTACGATCACAAAAAAAAAAATAATAAATAAAAAAAAAGTGGTTTATAGAATACTCAAGCATGGACTGTACTATTTCATACCTGACGGTCAGCTGGGAGAAGAAACCGGTGCTTGATCCATTTCAGTTGCCTTCTTGAATACCGTCTTGTCACCTGAGAAAACAAAATGGGAGAAAATTAACATTTATAGAAATGAGATTAATGATTTCCTAACATCAGTGCCAAAACATATAACCAAAAACAATCTTTCTGTATTTAAAACAATGGGATGGAGGTGTTAAGGGTGGAGGAGAGAGAGGAGGTTCAAGAAGAGGAGGAGGAGGAGGAGACTAACAAAGAGAAGGAGACAGAGAAAGAGAAGGAAGAGGAGACTGACAAAGAGAAGGGGGAGACAGAGAAAGAGAAGGAGGAGGAGACTGACAAGGAGAAGGAGAGGACAAAGAATAGGAGGAGGAGGAGACTGACAAAGAGAAGGGGAGGAGGAGGAGGAGGAGACTGACAAAGATGATGAACAAAGAGAAGGGGAGGAGACTGACAAAGAGAAGGGGTAGGAGACTGACAAAGAGAAGGGTGGAGACTGACAAAGAGAAAGGGGGAGACTGACAAAGAGAAGGGGGAGGAGACTGAAAAAAGAGAAGGTAGGAGACTGACAAAGAGAAGGGGGAGGAGACTGACAAAGAGAAGGGGGAGACAGAGAAGAGGAAGAGGAAAAGGAAAAATAATAATGATAATAATAAGAAGCAGAGGAGTAAGGAGAGGGAGAGAGACAAAAGACCCCACCTGCTTTAGTGACGTAACTCCTGCTTTATACAACTTCTTGCCAGCCTCAGTCTGCTGCTCCTCTTCAGACAGCACAAGATACTGGTGGAACTCCTTGAAGCCAATGCTCTGAAAAATGCCCTTGGTGTAATCAGCCAGCTGCCCCTCCTTCAGCCGCTGCCTGTTGTAGTCAGCGTGAAAGTCCTTGAGCTCCTGCAGGAGGCCGCGTTCTATCATGTCATCTACTCGTCTGTCTAGTCGCTGGTCCAGGACATCCTGTTGGGAGGAGGAGAATGAGTACAGACTTCAACGAAATGATGTAAAGAAGACTGAGAGGATATGAATACTTGCAATACTT